AGGCTGTTTGGCTAGCATTTTTCCCAAACCATGGTTTGGGTCCCCAAAGTGCTTGCCAAACAGGGCCTAAGTAATGACAAGTTCTAGAGTAAGGAATGACAACATATTCAGGTTGGTCACTTGTCATTAAGACTTTTTTGTAATTAAATTTCTTACCTAAGATCTCTTGGTAATTTTCCTCAAATAATATGATCGAGAAAGGTTGAAAAAACAAAAGATGTTCATGAAAAATTAAGACAATTAGAAAGGGTAAGATTCTCAACCCTAAAAATAGAGTTATATTTTTTATGTGTGTAAAAATGAAAATAAAAAATGTGTAGTTGTTTGAAGCTTACATCTCATGTTCATATTTGTATTTTTAAAAAATCAAAGTCATCATTATTTGAAATATAATTGAAGATGAATAATCAATGTATGATAACAAGATAGAATGTGATGGATTTAATTCTGGAGTAGCTAAAACAAAAGGTGGTCAACCTCTTCATGGTGCCTCTCAATTTTTTGAAAGTAAATAATAATATATTGTAGAAATTGTACTACTTATAAATCTTGAAAAGGTGTTTGGATAAAAATCAAAATCACGATTTGAAATACAAAACCATGATTTACTGATCCTACCTTCCAAACATGTCAATCTTTTGTAAAATCACTTTTTGATTGAAATATTTTTAGAGTTAAGATACATTTAACACCCTAAAATATTTTTTATTGCATCCAATATTCTAAAGTATTTTATTAGCATTCAATACCCTAAAATATTTTTTTTCATGTGCATCCAAGGTGTTGAATGCACCTAAAAAAAATATTTCATGTATTCAAGATGCTGAATATATCATTACCCTATTAATTATTCATTAGTTATATTTTTATATATTATTTATTATGTTCCAAAAAAATATTATTTATTACTTTATAACTTTAAATAAAAATTTTAACTTAAATTTATCTTTTGTATAATTATTATATTAATTTATGTTATTTTTAATAATTTACACATGAAAAAAGTATTACTGATAATAACCATGCACATAACATCCTCATTTACAGAATCACTTTTTTAAGAAAATTTATTTTTTAAATCTATTTTCAAAATAAAATTTGTATCACTCTTTTACGAAAGTTATTTTGTTAGTCCAAACACCCTGACAGTGTAACCCTTCTTAAACGTTGTGTCAATGCCACTATAGTGTTAATTTTCGTTGACACGTTAAATAATAAACATTGACGCGTCAGAATATTTGTCACTTGGAGATCCTTAATCGATTTAGACTAGTGGTAAAATAATTACTCTTCTAATTCAAAATATAAGACTTATATATATACTATAAAATGAGTTTTATATTTAGAACCGGAAGAGTAATTTATTTTTAATTTAACTTTTAAAAAAATGAAATTGAGTAAAATAATTTATGTTTGTATTTAATTTTATTAAAATGAGTTTGTAAAAATAGAAAATTTGTTTGAATTGGCTTTGTAAATAAATTAGTTTATAAAAGTAAAATTGTTTGAATTATTATTGAAAAAATAGTTTTAGTTCTAAAACAACGGAAAAAGACATGAATTTTATTAAATAATACTCCTTTTAATTCAAAATATAAGCATTAAATAACGAATTTATGTAACTCAAAAATTTAAAACATATTTAATGATTTACCTAAAATTCTTTGTTTTGTGAAAATGTTTAACTAACATCTTGTATTATGTATTAGAAAAATTACTCGTCTGGTCTTATTTATAAGTCACTTTCAATATATTTCACACAAATTAAAAAAATCTTAAACTTTATTAACTTTCATTTAAAATTCAACAAATTTTTAACTTTATTCTTATTTAACATAAATTATATATCATAAAAATAAAGTCAACATAATAATAAATAAAGTGTAAAAGTTTACATTTAGAGAAAAAAATTTTCTCTCCGTCTTATGAATAAGGCAAAAAAAATTTCTCTCTTTTTATAAATAGAACATGAGGAGTAATATTTATTTATTCTCTTTTCATGGTCTAATTTCTCTCTCCATGATAGTAAATTTTTTTAAAGTAGGGCCGACATTTTTCTTCTTCTCTCTCTACTTTTCCAAGGCTACAAGCAGCAAATTTTAGCTTTTAACTTAAGGTGTGTTTGAAATGCCGTTCAAAGCGGATAATGTGGTTTATTTAATGGGGAGATATTGCATGGATTGACTTTTGAGCAATTGAGTTTTTGAGAGAAAAGCGGTGAAGAGAAAAACGAGTGTTCGCATTCCATGCTCAGCGCTCAAAGCTTAAACCAAAAATAGTTTTCATGCATCTATTTTTTTTTTTTTAATGAGAACGGGGAAAAAGGGGGAAAAGAGGAGAGGAAAAAAAAACCTAAGGTCCCACACTGCTCAACACTCACAAAAAACTGCTTTTGATTTAAGCTTTATTTAGTATTCTAAAATATTTTTTAGGTACATTCGTTATTCAAAACATTGGTTTCATCTAGCATGCTAAACTATTTTTTTTAGATGTGCCCCACATCTTACAATATTTTCTGATACAATTATCCAACACCCTAAATTTTTTTTTAGGCAAATTCAGCATCCTAGAATTATTTTTTAGTTTGTCCATCACCCTGAGATATTTTGTCAAATGCATCTAATATCCTAAAATATTTTGTGATTCATCGAAAGTTTTAAAATATTTTTCAGATACATCAGTATTTTTACTAAATACACATGAAAAAATATTTTAGACTATTGGATGAAACTTAATCCACAAATAATTTTAATATATACTACTTCCTGTCCTTAATGTAAGAGTTAGTTAATTAATTTGAATAGATCAAGGAAACTAATTAAGTTAGTTATTTGTAATAAATAGGTGTTATCTTTTCTAAAATTTTCTTATTAATTAAATGTATCGACTAAAACTACTATTATTACAACGATTATTTTGAGAAAAAATATATAAATATGAGAGATAAAGTGAATTATGATTTTATATTTAGGACCAAAATAAAAGTCAAATAAACTCTTATATTAAAATAGGAAATATATATATTTTTTTGTGATGAACAAGGATTAAAAAAAGCAAAAAAAAAAAAACTAAGATCGCACCCTGCTCAGCACTTTGAGCACGCCGTGCTCATCAGGCTGATAAGCACGGAATGTGGTCCCGAAAAAATTATGATCATGAGATAAGAGAGAAGTGTCTTAAAGTGGGTTTTACTTTATTTTAACCAAAAAAAAAAAGTTTACTAGTACTCATAGTTTTATCAAATTTTGAATTGGGTTCTTATAGTTTTTTTTTTTTAATTCCATTCTTAATCTTAATGCTTATTTCGTTATTGGTGTTAGTCCTTCTGGCTAATAAACTTGCAAACGCCGTTTTTTTGGATTAACAAGGATGAAGTGGCCTGAATAAAATCTGATTAAGCACGCTCATGTCATTTTCGTCTGCCTTCGCGCCCGCACTACCAACGGGTTCTGTGCTGCGGGTCAGTTTCGGGGCAAAAGAACTGCTGAACTTCCAACCCAATCGATTTCAAAGTCTCTTACAGGGCTACTCACTACCCTGCTTTTTCTGCTTCAAAAAACAGAGTACAGAGTAACATTTTGTGGAGCCTTTGTCCGGCCGGAGAAGACATACTCATTTTATGTGTGAATACCACATTTACTAACTTGACCCCTTAAAAGCTGGAGTTCTCAAGAGTTACTCTATCATGATTTTTAAGATTATTTCTCCAGTTGTTTTTCCATTAAAATTTTATCATATATTCATGAGTGAGTGAGAGCCAAGAAGCATGTGTGTGTATAATAAATATACAACCCCCATCCTGGGATATATAAAAACTAGAGTTCGAGGAACAAACTATTGAGAGTCTCCAAAGATCATTTATATATATATATAACTCAAATGCAGAGGCAGCATTTTTTTTTTTTGGGGGATTTGGAGTCATTAAGGAGTAAGAAACGGTTTTGGGATGAAGCAAGCTAGTGTGGGTTTATGTTAATGAAGCTGGTTGCAAATAAAGAAGGAAAAGCGCAAAGGCGTGGATCATTAGCTTTTGTCTTTTGAGCGTTAAATTGGCCAAAATGAATGAAGAAAATAGAAGGCTAGGATGTTGGAGCATCTCTGATATCCTGGACCAGCTTCATCAATTGCTTATAGGCATTGAACGCAAAGAACTCGGTAATCAGAGGCTCTTCAAGAAGACTTTGTGAAGTCGGTTGGGTTGGAAGGTCTGAGTTCTGACTGTGGCGAATTCTGCGATGTCAATGAGTTCTGGCAGTTCCAAAATTCGATGAACTGATTGAAAATTTGATGAAACTGTAAGAACTAGCAAATTAATTTTCCCATTACACTTTTCCTAAAATGTTTTATGTTAATAACTGAAAGTCATCTGCTGCATCATCTTCCCCTCCTTCAAATCATTTAAATTAAGCACACTTGTTCTGTTTTTCATAACCCTACTCTGCGAGTTTTGGAGCATTTCACTACTCTCCGCGTGACTCATTCTCAAAGAGATCAGGGCTACTCTTGTTGGCGGAGCTCTTCTCTCTGCTGCCTGTAATGTTCTTTTGGAAAGATTAACACCTTCGTGACCTGACTTGCTCAACTTCTTTTGTGGAGAGGAGCCGGACAAGACATTAATTCGTCGTTTGAAGTCATGCTTGATTGCTGCCACTGCTGTGCTCAAGGCTGCAAAGTTTAAACGATTCACTGATCCTAAAGTAAAGGATTGGTATGATGAACTTAGCGATGCTGTTTACAGTTTAGACGACCTCGCCGGAGATGCTTCTCAGAATCAGGTGTGCGATTCCCTCTTTGCTCATGCAATTGATAGAATTGAATGCCTTTTGGGTTTGAAAGATGTTCTTGGTTTAACGAAGAGTAGTGAAACAGAGACTCTGTCATAGAGGTCTCAAGTAACAACTTGGGCGAAAGTCCCAGATGTTTGTGGAAGGAAAAGAGAAAAGGATGATATAATCAAGCTTCTTTTTGCCTATGAATTGTCAGTTATCCCTATTGTGGGCATGGGTGGGATTGGGAAAACCACCTTATTCCAACTAGTTTACAATGAAGGTGATGAGAATAAAAAATTTGATTGCAAAGCATGGGCCTGTGTTTTTGAAAACTTTAATCTTTTGAAGATATTACAGACTATACTGAGCCAAAGCAATCCTGTTTCTGTCTGTGATAAGGCACAGGATCTTAATATTCTTCAACTTCGTTTGGTGGAAAATTTAGCAAGAAAAAGGTTTTTCGTTGTTCTAGATGGTGTCTGGAATATCAAATATACTGACCGGGATACTTTAAAGAATTTGCTTGATAATGGAGTGAAAGGTTGTAAAATCCTTGTTACAACTCGCCAAGAGCGTGTTGCTTCAATGGTTCAAACTATCCCATCATTTTATCGCGGAGATCTAATGGCCGATGAATATTGCTTTTCAATTTTTACCAGGCAGAGATGTTGCTAGCAAGTGCAAAGGATTGCCTTTAGCTGCAAAAGTACTCTTAGGACTTTTCCAATCAGTGCCTGATATTGAACGCCGGAATTCTATATTAAAAGACAACATATGGGATTTTGATAGTGAGATCATTCCAGCTTTTAGAGTTGGTTATTATTATCTTCCTCCATATTTAAAACTCTGCTTTGTTTATTGTTCTTCATTTCCAAAGGATTATCAGTTTTGCAAGGAGTTCTTGATTCTGATGTGGAAGGGAGAAGGTTTTCTGCAGCCGAAGAGAAATATGAGTTTATAAGAAGTTGGTTATGAGTATTTTAATGATTTAACTTCAATATCATTCTTTCAACCCTCACATGAAAATGATGAATACTTTGTTACGCATGATCTCACTCATGAGTTAGCAACTCGTGCAGCAGGAGACTTGCACTTCAGATAGAGAAGGATGGAGACAGAATTGGCAGTAAGAAACGCCATCTGTCTTGTAATTGTCCATCGTTAGATGTTGACTTTTTCAAAAAAGCAAAAACCTTGAGAACATTTATAGGATTCAGATGCTTCTCTCCCTCGGTCTTTTGGAAATGCTCCTTATGTTCCATTATTTAAGCTCTAGTACTTGCAAACGTTATCGCTTTCAGGTCTTTCATCTTTAGAGATAGTGCCTGATTCAATTGGTGAGTGTACACAATTGCAATATCTGGATTTCACAAAGATTGTAAGTTTGCCTGATTCATTGTGTAAGTTGTGCAATCTACAGACATTGATGCTGGACCAATGTCACAATTTGAAGCCGTTGGCAGGCAATATGCAAGATCTTTTAAACCTGTGCTATTTGGACTTGTCTTCAGCCAGGCATTGAAAGATTACCTGATTCATTAATGTGCAAATTAGGCAATCTACAAACGTTGAAGGTTTGTGGTTGTTATTATCTTGAGGTGCTGCCATGTGATATGCAAGATCTTGTAAACTTGCAGCGCCTTGATATTAGACGCACTCCTTTGAAATAGATGCGAAGGGGACTGAGAAAATTAAAAGATTTGCGAGTTTTGAGTGACTTCATTGTTGGCACAGACCAAGAGGTGATGATAGGAGAATTAGGAGAAATTTCAAACCTGAAGGATGCCATTAAAATAAGTAGTCTAGAGAATATCAGGCATGGTAATGAAGCCTCTACGGCTACAATGATGGAAAAGAAGCACCTGTAAAAGATTTAAAATTGTCATGGTCTGGTGATGGTTACATGAATAATTCACGGACGGAAAAAGATATATTGGAAAATCTTCAACCTCATTCGGATTTAACTGCCTTGGAAATTGATGGTTATAGGGGCACAGAATTTCCAGATTGGTTAGGACATCATTCGTACCAGAACATGACTTCATTGAAGTTACATGATTGCAAAAATTGTTGGAGGCTTCCTCCCCTTGGGCAGCTACCTGTTTTGAAGAGTTTATATATTGAAGAATCACAAATTGTACAGAGAATTGGCAATGAGTTTTTGAAGGGCATTGATTGTGCTTCGATGACCCCATTTGCATACTTTGTATTTCTTGAGTTTAGATGGATGAATTCGTGGGAAGAATGGCATTTAGATGACATGGAAGCTTTTCCTAAACTGAAACATCTCCAATTAATTGACTGTGACAAATTGAGTGGAAGTTTACCGTGCCAGTTTCTTTCTTTAGAATATCTGGGGGTTAATCGATGTCCATTTTTGGGTTCTTGTAACCCAAGGAGTCCAAAACTCAAGACTTGGAGATATGTGGAAGTCAAAATGCAGTGTGGCAAGAGCAAGAGTTTCCTCCTCCCCTTCAGAAGCCAGTAATTTCAGGAGGCAGGATGTTGGAATCAATGTTAGGGGCACTCTCTAAAAATTTGAAGATACAAGATTTATCTATCAATGATTGTTCCAATTTGTCACTTCAGCCGATTGATTTGCCCTCATCATTAAAAAGTTTGTTAATAGAGAAGTGTGAAAACATCGATTTTGTTTTGTGTTCAACTACTCCTCTTCAAGATCTCCAGCTCATTTCCATTGTTAAGTGTAAGTCTGAAATTCTCGTCCAGTGATATGGGAAGTGTTGCTCCAAATTTGAAAAACTACGCATAGATCGTTGCCACGAGATGGAGGCATTTCCACAAGGGATTCTTCCATCAAGTTTGACAGAACTTCACATTCTATACTCTTGGAATCTAGTATCTTGTCATGCGCAGTGGCAGCTCCCAAGGATTAATTACCTTTATATTCGAGGTATCTTTGATATCAACTGTTTCCCTGAGGCAAGTTCTCTTCCTGCCACTCTTATCACTCTTGAACTCCATGAATTTGAAAGCTTGGAGACGTTGAACTTCACAGGCCTTCGGCACCTAACCTCCCTGCAAGAACTGAAGATTGTGAATTGTCACAGTTTGCAGAAAATGTCAGGAAAGCTGCCTGATTCTGTAAGAAAGCTTCACATTTGGGAATGTCCTTTGCTGGAGGAATGATTACACAATAAGGATGAAGAAATTATGCCCATACTTGCTGATATTCACATCACATCATTTTTATCGTTGAATCCAGATCCTTTGCAGTGATAAACAAGGTATTATTGTGCACGCCCTTCTTCCAATTACAAATTTAAGCTAAAGTATTACAGTTTGCTGGTTCGTAAATTTCAGTCATTTATGGTGCTAATTCCATGTACATGTCTACCATTCTCAATATCTAATGACACTTTAGGGATGTAACATTTTTTCAGATATGTTTTATTTAGTTTAATTTTTCTTTTGATCTTAGTATTATGTAGCATGTATCCAGTCACTTTGGGTGCTATTTGATTATATTTTCCTTAGACTACTATTGCTATACAGTTTTCAAACTATATTCCAGTATTATAATTTGGAACTTCATGATTTAAGTTGGGGTAAAACTTTCAAGTTTCGATATTTATGATTTTATATATTTGATGTCAGACTGATGAATTTCGATATGCTAAACAGTGAGGCTGAAGACATGCCTTACTTTGGTTACTCGAAGTTCTTGTCCAAATTCTGGATGACATGGTGAAAACCAAGATGATTTAAGTAGCAGCGTAAACGAAGCTCATTTTCATGGCTTTCCATGGATGAGTTGATAATGAGATTCTTCACGAAATGAAATTACGAAAGTACACTTCTAAACTTAGACGGTATTTGGATTCTAATAAAAACACTTTTAAAAAGTATTTTTATATAAATTGATACAAATTTCTTATTTCGTATACTTTAAAATTATTTTTAAAATTATGATTTAGTTCTTATCCAAACATCTCTTTTAATAATTAAAATATTTGGTATATTATTATAAGATGTTTGACATGAGTTCATATTTTAATCGTCTCTTTATGTTTTTAATATTACTTTCAATTTTAATTATAAAACCTCATTCGTAGATTATAAACGGAGTCTTAGTATGTTTCTAGACTTAATGATTGTGAAAGGACACTCCTAGACTTACTAGCAGTCTAGCATTTTTTTTTGTGCATAATGAATTGACAGCTTAAATATTATTTCTTTATTTTATTTTTCATTGTGTTTTATGTCTCCATGCTCACTTCTCTTCTCATGGTCAAAATGCACAATCGGCAAGACTGGAAGGCACTTATTGGAGAATTACTTGTTTATGAGAAGTTCTTGTTTGCATTGATTTTTAAGAAAATTACTCTACAAATCCCTATAGTTTTATCTAATTTTTAATTAAGTTCTTGTAGTTTCAATGATTTATAATAATGTCCGATAGTGTTTTTAAATCAGATCCTTATAGCCTTTTGTAAAAAATCTCGTCCCATCCATTAAACATTCCTAATTCCGAGCTATAAACTAGTTGTTTCTATATCCCAATGTAACAAGTTTGGCTCATGAATTCCTGAAAGCAATCCATGATGGAGTCTCCAAAATCCAAATAGACATCTATAAAAATTACGTAGTAGAGTCAAAATTTAAAATCTAACAAATATTAATATTTAAAATGATTTTGAATATCTATGAAAGTACTATAAATATAAAATTGGTTAAAATTTAGAACCATAGGAACAATGCATAAAACATAAAATTATAATAACACAAACAATAAAACCATCTTAACAATAGTAAAAAGTTTTCTATTTTAATAATATATTGAAAGCATAAATGGTTTAAAGAAGTAAAGGGGAAAAAAAGAAAGCAGAATACTAAAGATTTTTTTTTTGACAAGTAGAGCTAATCTATCATTATTGTTTCTCAGATGATAATTAAGAACCAAAAATTTTGTTTAAGAAACTTTAAACTAATTTACATCTTTAATTTCAAAAGAGATTATTTGTTTTTCTAATATCCTAGAAGAAACCCTGGTCAAAAAAATATATTCTAGAGGAAACTAAAAGAACTTTTTCTTGTGGAGAATATATTAGGTGCTCATCGTGTATCGTGTCATTTATATTCTTTACACACATGAAGAGTCCAAGTCAAATAAATCAAGGGAAAATCCCAGAAAAAGCCCTTGGAATATGCCAAATCCCAGATTGGGCCCTTAAATTTCGAAAATGACAGATTGGGTCAATGACCCAATCTGTCATTTCTGAAATTCAGGCGAATTGACATTTTTGCCCCTGAGCAAAAGTGAGTAGTTATTCTCTAGACAAATCTAGGTAACGCTTACACTGTTCTAGTGATTACAAGATTCGTTATAGTTAATAATAAGGTACCTGACAATAATAAGATACTTGACTATGAAAAAATGAGTAGTTATTCTCTACACAAATCTAGGTAATGCTTACATTGTTCTAGTGATTACAGCATTAGTTGTAGTTAATAACATGACACCTGATTATGAAAAAGTGAATAGTTATTCACTATACGAATCTAGGTAACACCTAAACTCTTATAGTGATTCCTTGAATCATTGTAGTGAATGAATAAATGAGGGCAAAATTGTCAATTCGCCTCAATTTCACAAATGACAGATTGGGTCAATGACCCATTCTGTCATTTTCGAAATTTAAGGACCCAATCTGGTATTTCCCATATTCCAAGGACCTTTTTTGGGATTTTCCCATAAATCAACCTTTAATATATTATTTTAATCTTTCCAAACTCACGTGCACAATTTTTCTATATTAAAGTATTATTTATATTTTCTTTTCGACAACGATCAATGAGTTACGGCCTTTTGATCAATGCATACTCTCTTTGTTTTCCCCTATTTTCACTAGCAGCAAGATAAAATTCATTTGATGGCCGCCTTTTAATTACATTTTTTTCTCCGACCATTTGTATTAGAATTTTTTGTGATAATTTTTTATTATTATTTTTGGAGATTTTGCATTATTTTTTATTACAGATTTTGCATGATGAAAAATGATTAGGCATTCTAAATCTTAACATCATTCGAAAATTTCAACTCATACCACCAAAGAAAACTTTTTCTTTGGGTCCCAGCCTTACTTTCTTCCAATTTCTTTTTTTTTTTTAGAATTATTGTAGAGTCCGAAGAGAACAATTAAATTATCAAAAAGTTTCATTAAATAATCAAATAAATATGAAGTCCCTATAGACTTGATGGTGAGTGGGGAGTCATATGAATTGTGCAATTACAAATTTGACCTTGCAAATTCAAAATAAAAATTGAAGGGAAAATCTAAGGTCCATGCTACTCGCTTTCACGCCGTTATTACTACAATGCTACAAATAGTAAAAATATATACCAAAATACTGTATTTTTAAAAGTATTTATTAATATACTACATTTAAAATCATTTTTCAGATAAACAATTTTTAAAGTTGTTCTTCTAGTTAACGATTTCTTCAGAATCACTTATCGATGTGCGTGAAGTGATTAAAAATCGTTCTTTTGGTGAACAACTTCAAAACTTCATATCCCC